TGATATTCACACAGGAGAAGGATATAGAGGATCGTGAGATTTGAGTGGAGCAAGCTAATATGCTAGGGCATTTTAAGGTCAAGGAAGAAGTGGTGTTGGATCTCTTGAAAAGCGTTAAGGTGGATAAGTTCCCAGGTCCCGATGGTGTCTACTCTAGGTTACTGAGAGCTGCAACAGAGAAGAATGATTGGGCCTTGATCACGATCTTTGTATCCTCGCTAGCTACTGGAGAGATCCCAGAGGACTGGTGAGTGGCTAATGTTGTTCCTATGTTCAAGAAGGGGAATAGGGATAAACCAAGAAAATACAGACCGGTGAGTCTCTCGTTGGTGATTGGGAAGCTATTTGAGAGAATTCTTAAGGATAAGATTTATGCACATTTGGAAAAGCATGGCCTAATTAGAGACAATCAACATGGCTTTGTGCAGGGCAGGTCATTTCTTATTAACTTGATTGAATTTTTTGAGGAGGTGATGTAGGTGATTGATGAGGGTAGAGCAGTGGATGTTGTTTACATCGATTTTAGTAAGGCTTTCGTCAAGATGCCTCATGGTAGAGGCATATTAATATCCATGGCATCCACGGTGACTTGGCCGCATGGATTCAGAATTGGCTTGCCCATGAAAGACAGAGAGTCGTGGTGGAAGTGTGTTTTTCAGGCTAGAAGTGTTCCACAGGGATCCATACTGGGATCTCTGTTTGTTTGTGATATGGATAAATGACATGGATGAAAATGTGGATGGATGGATTAGTAAATTTGCAGATGATACAAAGATCAGTGGAGTTGTCGACAGTGTAGAAGGTTGTCACAGGATTAAGCAGCATATAGATCAGTTGCAGATATGAGCAGAGAAATGGCAGAGAGAGTTTAATCAGGGATAAGTGTGTGGTACTGCACTTTGGAGATCAAATATTAAGGAAAAGTACACAATTAATGACAGGATTCCGAACAGCATTGATTTACTGAACGATCTTGGAGTTCAAGTCCATAGCTCCCTGAAAGTAGCAAGTAGATAGGGTGGTAAAGAAGGCATATGGCATGCTTGCCTTTATTGGTCAGGGAATTGAGTACAACAGTCAGGATGTCATGTTGCAGATTTAAAAGACTTTGGTTAGGGAACTTTGAGTATTGCGTTCAGTTCTAGTCGCCACATTACACGAAGGATGTGGAGGCTCTGGAGAGAGCGCAGAAGAGATTTATCAGGATGTTGCCTGTATTAGAGGTTATGAACTATAAGGAGAGGCTAGAAAACCTTGGGTTGTTTTCTCTGGAGCAGGATTGACAGTCAGAATCTTTTTCCCAGAGTCGAAATGTCTAATACCAGGGGGTATGCATTGAAGGTGAGAAGTGTAATGTTCAAAGGAGACATGAGGGGCAAGTGTTTTACACAGAGAGTTGTAAGAGTCTGGAACACACTGCCAAGGGTGGTGGTGGAGGCAGATACAATAGGGGCATTTAAGGGATTTTTAGATAAGCACATGAATATGCAAGGAATGGAGGTGTACGGACCAATGGCGGGCAGGAGGGATGAGTTTCATTTGACGTCATGTTTGGCACAACATCATGGGCCTACAAGCCACATTCCTATGTTCTATACTCTACATTCTATGGTATATTGTCAAGTGCTAATCTTCTGTTTTTATTTTCCCATTACCTTGCCCAATATGTTTACCCTAACTCCTCACTTACTCTCAGATTATGCCTTCTGATCCTAGATTCCCACGAAAAGAAACAATCTCTCACATCCATCCTGTCGAGTCCCTTAAGAATCTTAAACATTTCAACAAAGTCTCTCCCTATTCTTCCAAATTCTAACAAGTACAGTCATAACTTTCTCAACCTCTCCTCCTAAGACAATCCCTCCATACCCAGGATCAATCAAGTGAACCTCTTCTGACTGCCTCCAATGCCATATATCTCTACTTAAATCATGGGGCAAAAACTATTCATAGTATTTTTGGTGTGATCTGACTAGTACATGGTATAAACTTAGCAATATCTCTCTATTTTGTATTCCAACCCCTTTGAAATAAAGACCAGCAGTCCTTTAGCCTTCCCTATTACCTCCTGAACTTGGAAGCTAATGTTTTGTGATTCAGATTGCGATAATCACTACTCCACTTTCCAAATTGCATTGCTGAAACATGTGAACAGGGCACAGCTAATGAGGCAGGAAATGAAAAATTCCAGACAGAAATAATGCATCAATACATTTGTAGGTCGACAAAGCCTGTGTGAAAGGTAGCTTTTAGAATCAACAGGATTCCTGATAAACAAAACCTAGTTTAATACCCAGATCTTGGTCTGTGTTGAGATCCTTAAATTTGGTTGAACGAAAAGGACGCACTTAACGCAGTGCCATTCATGGCTTCATAATGTGTGGAAGTGCTTCTTAGACAATTATGTACATTTGAAGTGTCTTCACTGCTGCAATTTAGGAAAAATAGTTAATTTGCAAGCCAGTTGACACAAAGCAAGATGCCACAAACAGCACTTTGTTTAGGGCTATTTGTTGAGGGAAAAATATTGGCTATGACTCTGAGCACAGAAACCTAGGCTTGACACCTTCACCTCCACCTCCTCAGCAGCAATTAGTGCAGTGAACAAAAACTGGTCCAGCCAGTAATGTCCACATCCCATGAACGAATATAAAAATCAAACTTCATTGCGGAAGTACTGCGCTCAGAGATGGCATTTTTTAGAAGAGATATAATTCACAATTCTCACAGGTAGGTCGATCAGATCAAGGCACCATTTCGAAGCTGACCAGTGGTTATTCCTATAACAATGAGGTGGGTAAATATGCCTTAGAGTTTCCCAGTTAATATCCAGTAAATTTCATGGGAAGCCAGAAATCCAGCTTAGAAGTAACTTAGATGTCAAGGAAAGGCTGTAGTAGGGGAAATAAAAACACATTTAATTTTTATGTATGACGGAGATTCATCAGTTTATATTATTGTCCCCATTAGTCTCAGGTTGCTGATAACAATAGGTCTTGATGTTCAACGAAGCACAATTACTAACACTACTAACACTAACACTTCCAAACAGGCTCAGTATGAAACAGTGTAGAGGACAGAAACAAAAACAGAAATTGCTGGAAAATCTCAGCATGGCAGCATCTGTGGGGAGAAAGTAGAATTAATGTTTTGGGTCCAATTACCCTTCTTCAGAATGAGGAGAGGACAGAACCTGGCTTTGTATGGCCTTATACCACAGTTTTGAGAAAAGCATTAAACTGCTTTGTATCTGCCATCAGAACCTCAGGATACTTTGGAAGAACTTGGGTATTAAAGTGACAAGTTTGTCAATTTCATTGAAAGATAGTTTTTACAATGTTTATGCACAACATTTTAATGGGGCTGTTGTAAAAAGATTAGTGGGACAACATTGTTTACTGTAGTGTTAAGTTAAACAAATCAGAATTCAGGCTCAACAACATATCTGTCTTGAGTTGGTGATCTCACTTGAAAAAGAATCAGGAGGCAGTGCACTCCTGTAGAAGAGGCAATGAAGTAGCTAAAATTCTTGTGACTAAACTGTGATTGCCACCCTTCCAAATCAACTAACCATTCAGGAGCCACCATATTTGAAGAGAATACATTTACGTAACCATCGGGTGATCTGAATTTGTGAAGTCAGAGAGTTGAGAGGAATAAAGTAGTGGTAAATATAATAATATACATGAGTGTATACAGGGAGGCAATGGCTTAGTGGTATTATCGCAGGACTGTTAATCCAGAGACCCAGCTAACGTTCTACGAATCTGGGTTCAAATCCTGCAATGGCAGATGATGGAATTTGAATTCAATAAATATCTGGAATTAAGAATCTAATGATGACCATGAATCCATTGCTGATTGTCAGAAAAAAACCATCTGGTTCCCTAATGTCCTTTAGGGAAGGAAACTGCCATCCTTACCTGGTCTGGCCTACATGTGAGTCCAGGCCCACCGCAATGTGGTTGACTCTTAACTGCTGTCTGGGCATTTAGGGATGGGCAATTAATGCTGCATAGCCAGAGATGCCCACATCCCATGAATGAATAAAAGGGTATGAACATTAACTACAGGGAATCAGGCTGTGAGAAAATATTGTATGGTGATTGTTCCAAAGAGTCAATTTTGGAGACTGTATTGCACTCCACTAATCTGATTATATCATCAGACTTGGGTGTGGAAAGACAGAACATCTTAGGATCTTGAAGAAGTCAGATTTATGATAATGGGCAGACTTCAAGCAACTTGATTGGCAAAGATTTTTGGAGCTGAAGAACAAAGGGGAATGTTTAACTAATGATGATTACTACTGCAAAATCTGACCAATATCACTGCATTATGAAAATTAAAGATTTAAGACATCAATATATGTGCATTACCATCATTTTGTCTCTTTGAAGTCATTTGTCTTCAAGATGGCATATCTCACAGCTAAGTGGGTCCTCTGTGACTGGCTCGATAATCTGATTGCTGAATCAAGCATGTCTACTGCCCTTGTCAGAGGTAATGAGACAGCTTGAATCTTTGGCAGTCAATTTAGCAATGGGATTTGAAGTTTTCCTGACTTAGCTTCAAAGAACCAAGCACAATGAAGAGGATGATGTTGGCTGGAAAAGTTGCTGGAAGATTACTGGTATCCTGTGCTGGAAAATTGTTGTTTGAACTCATCAAACTGCAGTAAGTGTCTCATGCAGACTTTAGTAAGAGGAGCAATGCAATCTTATGTAAATTCCCTGGAATTAGGTAAGTGAGGTGTGAATCTATGGGAAGGATATGTACGCTTCAAACTGTAGACGTATTACTGCAAATTTCTCAGTAACATGGCGTGGAGACAATGGGGTGATCCTACATCCGTTGCCAAGGTAGCCCAAAAACTAATAAAGTGTACTCAGGCTTCAAAGTTGACTATATTTGTTTATTGAATCACAAAATTGCATTAGGAAAACAAAATTTTTATTGAAACAAAGTGGAGACTGTACATCCAGTATTGAAACTGTAACTTAGAAAACAATCAGGAGTGCAAAAATCCCATACAGTAAGGCACAAGGGTAGGCGACAAGAAGCTGTTGTCCCTCCATTGCCAGCGTAGAGATAAATATTTTTGAGGCTGAGAGGCTGCACCATCCAATGACAATCAGAGCAAGCGGAATTCCAGTCACTCCCCTGAGATTAACAAGACAGAGCACATTATCATGACAGAAGTAATCAGCTTTATAACATCAGATATTTAATAAATCTTGAAATATTTGCATAATTTCTTTGAAGTTTGGTGGTATTTCAGTTTAAGGAAATGGTAAAGATTAGTATACACAGTGCAATCAAGGTGTGGGGGATGGGGGTGGGAAGATTGACAAGGATGGTAAGTTTTGTTTCCTTGATTTTCATCAATGCCACTGCTTCAGGAATTAAATGCAGGGATCAGAAAATGTATTAACTCAAAATCGAAGTAAAATTTGCTAACTGGCTTTTTTTCTTCAAAACTGGAGCCTAGAAATTAGAATGGAAGATTCTATCATATCATCATCTAAAAATTGCATAGAGGCAATAACTCGTTCATTTTAAAATATATTCACACTTCCATTAAAACAGCGGATGGAGCAATTTGATATTAGCAACCATACAGTCACATGTTCTGCAGTGATTTCCAGGTTGATGAATTATTCAAATCATTGATTTTATCCTTTTGTTCAGACAGCTCAGACAAACTGCAAAGTTAGTTCTTTCCGTCATGAAACTCCTGATGCTGTTTTTAGACTCTGATCTTTTCTCTGTCGTTACTAGTTTCCCATAAAGAGTACATTGTCACACCACCCACCACCGCTCCATCATTGTTACAAAGGTCACAAAATCCAGCTCCTCAGTGCATGCTTTTTCTGCAGAAGGAGAGGTGTTTGGCTTCAAAATGGCATCCAATGAAAACATACATCTCAGACTGAAATTGTTGATATTTGAAACATCTCCCAATTTGCCATTCACTTTTTAACAAGTGAACTCTCTAAGGCCCTGTATTCTAAGAAGACTTAATTGTGTCCTGCCAGGGAAAAGAAAAACACACATCTTGATAAGGATTTCAGGTATTCTAATAATGCACACTGCCACACCACTCTGTGCAAGTCACATCACTTTTGAGATGTTCCATAACCAAAAGGGATTTAATTCCTGCAACACCCAACTGGTGCGTGAACATAAACAAAGAATCATGCCTGTTAAAGCCTGGTGTCCTTGCAACAGTGTCCTGTCTATTGCGCTACGACGACAAATAAAAGGAATATATTGAGCGACACCCACTATGTACTAACAATATTGAAGACTTATACCATCAGTATGCAAGTGACTCACATGTGGGTTGCATGCACGTACCCAAAGCAATGCCCCAGAAACGTGGTAAAAGAGATCATTGGTATGCTGAAATAACACTTCTGCAGCCTGGACTGCTCCAGAGTGGCCCTGCAACATGTGGTAGAGTGGGTATTCGGATTTATGATTGAGAAGGTGGTCTGCTGCATGTTATATATTGAGAGGGAACATCTTTTGTCACGAGCTATATAGTCATCCACTACAGAGAACAATAAAGAGGAAGAGGAGGCAGCTGATGCAATGACCATTGATGTGGCTCCTTATCAATACCTTCTGGAACAGTATGTAGAATACATCCAATCGCTCCCTTTTATCTACTGGTCTTGCCCACCTATGGTTGAATCATAAGTCAGCTTCTCTCCACCTCCTGCACCACTGCATCTAGTAGAGCGTCAGAGAATCTAACAGCATGCTTTCTCCCCTGTTTTGCTGTAATTCACTCCTTTTGGTTAGATTCCATTTCTTAAACAATTCCAGCAGCTACTCCAGCTAGAATATTTTAAGCGGTGGAGGTTGTCTTTGATGGTAATCCTGTAGAAACTGTATCCCACTTCCAAGGTGAGCAACCTGTTGTTAACGGATTTAATGCTGGCTACACACAGCCACCGTACACTTACAAGGCAGCGCACAATGCTGCCCATAGTTGAAGAGCAATGGCACAGATTAATCAAAACCGAAAGAACTGTAAATCGGGAACAAAAATAAAGTTGCTGGAAAAGCTCAGCAGGTCTGGCAGCATCTGTGAAGGAGAAAACAGAGATAACGTTTCGGGTCCGGTAACCCTTCTTTGTTGTTTTTGGCACAGATTAATCAATGGATTATGATGCTGGCACCTATTTTCAGGTACTGTTGATTCAACATGATTCTAGTCGTCCTGTTTATTCATGCCTGGGAATCACTGGCTAAACCAGCCAGCATTTAGTTCCTATCTCTAATTGCCCTGGAACTCAGTGGCTTGCCAGGCTATTTCAGAGGGCAGTTAAGGATCACCCATATTGGTGGATCTGAAGTCACTCATAGGTAACACCAGGCCAGGACAATAGATTCCTTTGGCTAAAACATTAATGAGCCAAATGGTTTTTTGCACATTCAACACTGGTTACGTTATGACAAATAGGCTGGCTTTTAATTCCAGATATTTATTGAATTCATATTTCATGATCTGCCATGCTAAGATTTGAACGAATGTCCCCAAAACATGAACCTAGGGCTCTGTAGTCTGGATTCTATGCTAGGGACATTACCACGATGTCTCCATCTCCCCACTATGAAGTACTATTTGTTTGTGATGTCGTCAAGAATTGATATTGACTGTATAAACACTTGTACGGAATTGTCTTATGAACTGGATAAGAATAATATTTAGAGGAGTCAACCTTGAGCCAATTTGTGCAAAATTGTGGATTTTTTTGCTCTGGAAGGCATGCTCACCAGAAACTCAATCACTTCAGACCCTTTCACCCAGCAGATACAGGAGACTTTTATTGGGTCCAATGAAATTTGAATTCGAAACCAGGACTTTGTAGTGAAACGGTATTGTCCTGGCCTGCTGCATTAATCTGTTTCTCCAAATTACAGCAATTTTCAGTTCTATTAAATTATATTTAATATAGAATATTCATCATATGTTACTAAAACGTACCACATGTAGCTGGCAACCAATGCCTTCCTAAACAGTTTACTGGACTGTTACATAGCAAATTCTCACCACTATTCTTCTGCAATTATATGTCTTATTGATAATAGAACATGGATTAAAAATATATCTTCAGGCTAAAATGCATTAGCCAAAAGAGGTGACAGTGGATATGTTTGTACAATGCTGGTGCGCAGGGTGACTACTCAAATTCAGATAATATAACGGAATCAATCTTAGCAAGAATCTAATCTCCAAAATGTATGCTTGTTCAATCAGCACTGTAGTGGGGACTAATGTGTTTGTCTATCAGATCTAAAAGAAATGATAATATCATGCTAAAAGTAGTTTTTTTTAATCTTTGCTGCTAAAGCTATTCATACAAAGATAGAAAGGGATTCAAAATTAGTCTTATCAGATTATCCTCTTCAAATGAGTTGCCAGCTGGTGTTTAATGGTGCTGTTAGACTATTAGTCATGTTTTGACACTGATACCTGCTAAGAACAAAGTGGAGCTATCTTTTGCAAGCATAAAGATTTGAAAAGTTTTTTTTAAAGAAAGAGTGAGATGTATTTGATATATTTTGTGACTGCAGGGCATCCCAAAACTGGCTAAGTGTTTTTGAAGTATAATTTCTGTAATAATGCAGGTAATATTTCACAAGGTCCCTCAAAGAGAACTATGATAATAAGCATACATTCTGTTTTTTGTAATGCAATTGAGATGAAGGAGATTTTAAAAGGGGGAAGGGTTGCTGAGGTTAAATGAATAAGGAACAAGAAAAGGAAGATAAAAAAAAGTGCAACTATATTCCATATCATGGATGATTGATACAAGGTGCTTGACTTTAACTGTGACCATCAAGCAGAAGCTGGTCCCTGGTACTATGTGAGAATTGATCCAAGCTGAATGACAACAATATTTGGCTAAAAAGGAAGAAATATTTTAAACAGAATATTTTAATTGTAGTCTCATCACAGTGCCCTACAAGTATTACTCTCACTATTGGTTTGCCTCAAAAGTCACCTTTATGCCTTTGAAATTAGTTTTGATTGGCAGTCATGAGGGCGAAACTGCCCAAATGTAGGATGAATATGGGAAGTTTTTTCTAATTCATTAGTTCCATTATGCTGAGTCCAGATTTCAAAAGGCAAAAGCATCAATTCACAAAATCACAGAAATATTATGATGCAGAAGGAGGCCATTCAGCCCCTTGTGCCTGCACAGGTTCATTAAATAAGCATCATTACCTACTATCAATCTCCTGTTTCTTTCCCCATTCCCTTGAACATTATTTTTATCTATTTAATCATCCAATGCACTGAAGAATGCATCAATTGAACGTGCCTCCACCACATTTCTAGGAAGCGCATTTCATACCCTAGCCACTCACTGATTTTTATTTTCTCATTTCAGCCTTGCCTCTTTTGCAGATTACTTTAAATCTGTCCTTGTTCTTGTTCCTTTGTTGAAGCAGGAACAGTTTCTCCCTATCCTCCCTTTCCAGTCCGCTCCTGATTTTGAAAATATTTATCAGTTCTGCTCTTAGCATTCTTCTCTCCAAGGAGAACACTCCCAATTTCGTCAATCTATCTTCATAGCTGAAGTGACTCATCCCTGAAACCATTCTTGTAAACTTCTTCTATACTCTCTCCAACGTGTTCATACTGTCCATATCATGTGGTGCCCAGAACCATACACAATACTCCAGCTGAGGCCTAAAAAGTATCTTAAATCTATTCACTGAAGTACATTAACAGTTCTTTTTAAAATTTATTCATGTTATGTGGGCATCACTAGCCTGGTCTGCTTTTATTGTCTATTCCTAGTTGCCTTTGAGAAGGTGGTAGTCAGTGGCCTTCTTGAGCCACTCCAGTCCATGTGCTGTAGGTTGGCCCTCAATGTCATGACAGAGGGAATTCCAGGTTTTTGACACAGTGATTTTGACCTCAAATGATCCTTGTTATTTCAGCTCAAGAAATGAAGTTTTCAAATAATAAGAATTAATTACTGTATTTCCTCAATTACTCACTTGTATAACAAGCTTTTTCCCAGGGTGGATAGGCCACCTACAAGAGGGCACGGGTTCAGGGTAAGAGGGGGAAAGTTTAGGGGAGAAGTGCAGGGAAAATTTTTCACAAGAGGGCAGTGGGTGCCTGGAATGCACTGCCAGTGGAGATGGTGGAAGCAGGCACATTGGCAACGTTTGAGGCGAATCTTCATAGACACATGAACGGGCAGCAAACAGCGGGATACAAATTGCACATGGGCAATAAGTAGTAGGTTTAAATAAGGATTAGGAATTGGCACAGGTTTGGTGGATTGAAAGGCCTGTTCCTGTACTGTAATATATTGTATAAATTAACAATCTTGAGCTATTTGGATTGCAGCATGGATTTTCCAACAGTTTGAAGAGATCTACAGCACATGGTACAGGAGATTGTTTAAGATATTTCCAATGTATTCCCACTTCCTAGATAGGTTTGTTCTGATAGAATCATAGAATCCCTACAGTGTGGAAACAACAGGCCCTTTGGCCCAACAAGTCCACACCAACCATCAGAGCATCCCACCCAGACCCATCCCCAATAACCCACTGACTCTATACATCCCTGAACACTACGGGCAATTTAGCATGGCCAATCCACCTAGCCTGCACATCTTTGGACTGTGGGATGAAACCAGAACACCTGGAGGAAACCCACACAGACACAGGAAGAATGTGCAAACTCCACACAGACAGTCGCCCGAGGGTGGAATCAAACCTGGGTCCCTAGCGCTGTCAGGCAGTAGTGCTACCCACTGAGCCACAGTGCCACCTCTTTCTACAACACAAATTTAAAACAGAAATAAATTGTTGTTTTATTTATTCTAGTCCAAATCCAGACATAAAACATATATAAGATCAAGTTTTAGCTTATTGACAGTGTGAGCTTGCTATGCAAGCTGAATTTTGAGGAAACCATGCAAGTGTTATGAAATTCATAGAAAAATAACTATTCTTTGAACTTCTAATTGAATACCATATTCAGAACCATGGGGTTCTATGGCTGGCACAGTTGTAAAGATGGAAAATACACCTCAAATAAGAAAATGAGGTTAAAACTGACCTCTTAAAACTTATTTTATCTGTTTCCACAATTAGAATTATCCAAAATGTTAAAATGAGAGTTTTTCTTTTCAGAGAATAGATCAGAAAAATCTATTCCTCTGGCTGAGATATGAGGGGTTATCAATTTATAATTGGTACTACGAGAGCGGAGAAGTTCATCTGCACAGAAGTGATTGTTGGAACATAAAATGTTTTACCACAGGGAATGTTTAAAATAGATATCATGTTATCCTACAAAGGAAAACTGGATATATATATATATATAAAGTATAAATGCAAGGCTATGAGGAGAGAGTAGGGCAGTAAGATTAGATTTGGATTACTCTGCAAAGAAGCTATAACAGACAGATGGGCCAAATGGTCTCTTTCAGTCCTTAAGCAATGGTTCATTGATTTGAGGTATTACTAAAGGTACATGAAGTTGAGGTAAGATATTGTTCTCAGCTGCACATCACAAAATGCAAACATAAAGGACAGGGACAATTCAGTTATAAGCACCATTGGGCATCATTAGAAACAGAAGCCTGGTACTTGCCTATCTTTTATAGATACTATATGATAAAGTCAACTATATTATGTATCAGCATAACATGTACTGTTTTCTAATAGTCAAGTATTGAAATGGATTACTTAATCCAAATTTATAACCAACCAAGGCAATGTTTATTTTATATTTCTGGGCATTTTACATTGCATTTTTTTTCATGGAATTGTTCTACATTTTGTTTAAATTATATTGGAGAAAAATATATTCATTTTATAACTCGTGGAACTGTAGCATTCAGTACAGTACAGTTACTTACATGACAATCAGTTTGTTAATGGGTTGATAATGTGGTAGAATCATTTGTAGGGTACTCTGCATTTGTTCCGATTGTTTTAGTAATACATGTTCCAAATATTGAACAAAATTCTGTGGAAATTACGCAACAGGATTTCCCTTGACACTGAATATTTTGGACAAAATAGTCCACTGGCAATACTGAAAAGCAGGAGCAGTTAAATATTTTCAAATCCACCATTTTCCACAGACCAGAATAGGCTAGCTCTAGGACAGATCAAGGCGTATTTTTGTTTCCATTTCATTGCAGCAAGACAGAAGAATTAGTGATTACATTATTTTAGAGAAAAAGAGTGTACACTACTTGGAACACTTGGTACTCTAGTGCTAGGCTCCAATAAGTGTAATTAAACTGCCTGTTCTCTAATACCAACTGAGAATCCGGATGAAAATATTGGGAATGACATTCTAGAATTAGTGATAGTAGTATTGATAGTAAAAATTAAATTAAATATGTGGAGCAGTATTAGTTTCTAAGGGAAAAGTGCTCTAAATGTAAAAATTAATGGCAAGTTTAACTGGTACTTGTGGAAAACTGTGAAGTTAATTTTGACATAAAAGATAGACTTCTTTCACAAGAACAGGAGAAGGTCATTTAGCTCCTCAAGATGTTCCACTACTTAATTAGGATCTTGCTGATCTGCATCTTAGCTCTATCTATCCACCTTCATTCTTCATTCCACCTGTAATATCATTGACTTCCAAAATAATCCTACAACTTCTAAATAAAAAAAATGAAATAACTGTGGATGTTAGAAATTAGAAACAGAACAGAAATTACTGGAAAAGCTCAACAGGTCTGGCAACATCTATGGAGAGAAATCAGCGTTCAAGTTTCAGGTCCAGTGACTGGTCCTCAGAACCCTTCCAGTTCTGAGGAAGGGTCACTAGAACCAAAACGTTAACTGTGATTTCTCTTCACAGATGCTGCCAGACCTACTGAATTTTTCCAAATGTTTCTGTTTTTGTTCCTACAATTTCTATTCTGCTATTCTGTTGACCAATACTCCAAAATTGAATCATGTTTAGATGGTTGCAATTTAGAGCACCATGGACATTTTGTTTCATTATTTTGTGCATAAAATCACGAGGTTAGACAAAAGCACACCTTGTGCCATTGTGGGAAAATTTCAGCCATTTTAGTGTTGATTTCAAAAACTAGTTCAAATTCAGACAAAAATGCTTAGTTTTAAAAATCAATAGTGCACAAATCAATCCAGATTTATACTCTTGATTACTAATTAGATACTTACCGGAGTGAAAAGAATATTGCACAGCCAGAAAGAATGATCATTGGAAGGAGACAGTAGCCCAGGACACTGGTCACACAGCCATATGAGACCCCTGTAATACTCATCAGGTTCAGCAGAGTGTGAATTGCCAAACAGCCCAAAATACTGATTCCATAAACATAGCTAAATTGTACTTTACCAGCCTGTAATAAAAAAAAAGAAATAAGCTATTCATCAAAATAATTTAGATTTATTTTCTGCTAATCTGTGGAAATAGAGAGTGTTAACGTTAAACTGAAATGTAATTACAAGAAACAATTTGAAATTTACACTTGTAAAAGCTTCCAAAAAAATTGAACAATGCAGGAAATAAGCCAATTGCTCTTTTGCATCCTGGCTAGACTGATAGAATACAATTCACTCTTCGCTAAATATAGAAAACAATTCAATGAAGCAATGGCTACAATAACCTGTAATAAAAATTTTAAGTACATACAGAGAATTAGTAGGTAATAAAGTACTGCATGAGTGGTCCCAAAATAATTATGGTTAGAAAATGCATATCATAACACACATCTGGATCAAGTGGGACTTGAACCAGTTCTTCCAGTCCAGAGATAGGGCTGCTATTACTGCACCACAAGACCCATGCAACCTACAAAATTCTGATCCAAAGTCAGATCCAAATACTGATATAATTTCTAATTATGTCCCCAATTTTTCATTTGAAAGTTATTATAGCACCTGCAGCCACAACTTTTTCACAGTTCATTTCAGACCACGATAACGGTTTCTAAACAGCAAGAAACAAAACAAATAAAAACAGAAATTGCTTTTCTTCACCCAAGGAAGAGTCCCTAGACTCAAAACTTCAGTGATAGTAAGAACTGCCGATGCTGGACTCGGAGATAACACTGTGTGGAGCTGGAGGAGCACAGCAGGCCAGGCAGCATCAGGGGAACAGGAAAATTGACGTTTCGGGTCAGGACCCTTCTTCAGAAATGGGGCCCCATTTCTGAAGAAGGGTCCT